TATAACACATGTTAGAGAAATGGGAGACTATCACAAGTTGTTAAGCAATAAAAATCCCTGCAACATAATCTGTTGTGGTTGGACATTTTATTGAAATCCTGGATAGTCATTTGCAAAAAAGCTGACATGCAGGGTTTGGATTTAATCTTCACATTTCCACTCAAACTGTGGCATTGTTTGAACACAACAGCTTTGGGATCCTGGCAAAAGAGTAAAACTGTCCGAGCTGTTCCACTCTGGTTTGAATTATCTTCTTTTTATTTATTTATTTCTAGCTTTGAAGTCTGTGTACTTTAAAAATCAATGAACATCATATTAACAAGCAGACACTAATTACATTTTAACAAACTGGAAAGGCTTGGCTACAAATCTTTGAAAAGATAGATTCACATTTTAAAAAGCTTTCTAATCCAACTGGCATCATTGTAGTAAGACACTGACAAAGCCTGCACAGAATGGAAACGTTAAAGGAATCTGTTTTCCAGAATTTTTTTTCTATGATTTATAATTAGTCTTCATCATTGTACTGTCTCACACACTAAGTCTGGTAAACAGAATAGTCATGACTTTTACAGGATTAATGGAGACATTCTGAGATATAGAAATTAAAAGACCACTCAGATAATAACAACACTTCACTCTTTTGTAGCTCTTCTCATCAGTTCAACTTATTGTTTTACAAACAAATCAGAATCACTATCAGAGTGCTACAGAGGGATAAAAATGAGGCAAGAAATGCTAATGTATGTCATCTGTAATTACTTAGCAGAACAGAGGCAGATCAGAACTGGGTCTCTTGTATCCAGTTCAGAGCTCTAATTCACAGGTTACAGTGGTTCACTGAGCAGTTTTTAAAGCATGGGTATTAGAGTGTGCAGTGGGAGTCAGAGAGTTTGTATTAGGATGATCTGCACACCAGGAAATGCTAAAAGTGTGAATAGACGGTCCTGGAACTATAAAAAAATATCATGCCTCTTCTGACCACTCTGTCTGAGAGTAGCTGTGTCCTTGGTGTGAGGGTTGTTAGAAAAGCAGCTCCCACATGAAAGTAGGATCCCCAGCAATGCACGAAACAGTTTCTGTACAGAGCAGAGAGCCAAGACATCACGAGGTTTGTGTGGTAACAACAAGGGGAGAGTAGGACACAAGGAGGATGCTTGTGTCAGAGCAGGCTCCAGGAAACACACAGGAGAAACTATGCTTTTGAAATGTCCCCACCAATTTCACCACTTCTGTGCTATTCCAGAACAGCTGCTTGAGAGGTAAACAGATGAGGAACCCACTTCAGACAAGAAGTGATCTGCAGCACAGCAAAGCCCCTGTGCCAAGAAACACTTACTCACTGCTGTGCCATGGATCATGTGAGGTCATATCAGACCCCAACAGGCTCAGCTGTCCTCTTCATGCTGTGCTCTGAAGAGAGAGATCTGTCTCTGGCAAGACAGACCTGCTGCTTGCAGTGCTGGGAGGGGAAATACAGATACCAAAGACAAGAGCAACAAACTTGATGGCACTTCATACTTCATGGAATGAGACATCAGTTCTGAGCTCCAGGAACTGGAAGATACATAATATGTTGGCCCACTCACAGGATACCAGAGTCAGTTCATGCTCACAGCAAATTCTTTGAGACAATTTCAGTGGAAGTGAGAGGAAAGGACCATTGCTCCATGACACACACATCAACATTTCTCTGTCTGCTACTACAGGTACTTGACTTACTTGTGAGAACTGATTTTCTAGACTTCCTACAGTGTCCTGCTTTCATGGCCACATCTTCTGGTTGAGCTGAAGTGCCAGAAACTCATCTGCTGGAGTGACCTACGGCCCATGTCCTTCTGTATCTGCAAAGAAGAGGACAGCCTGTCATGCCTGTCCTGGAGCCACATCAGGTACACCTGGCAGAGAAGCACAGGCAGTTGTCACCATACCACAACCACTCCCAGAGGTGGCATCCCAGCAGTGATGCCCAATGAGAGCATCCCAACCATCAGTGATGCTGTACACGCTTGTCACTAGAATGATCTCTGAACAATTTTCAGCATGAGCACAGCTCGTTATAGATGGTGGCTCAAGCATCACTGTAACCTTGGCTACCCCTGCAGCAAAAGCTGTGGAACTTGAGTATATTGATAACAATTAAAACATCTGGAAGTGACTCTCCAAAAAGGTTCTATGAATAGAGTACCAAGTATCAGGGTCATCTGCCATGGCACCTCATCTACCCTTGCTTCTCTTCGTAAAAAAGCAGGAGTAACACATGAAGTGCAATAGCTCTCTTTGCCTACCTTGAAATCACTATTTTGATGTTAAAGACCACATTTTCCACTTTTCCACCCACCTGGTTAAAAAGATTTGACAACTCCTGTAATGCTTGCACCAAAAAATTCTTTCCACACAACTGGATCTAATCTAAGTCTCTGAGTCCACTATGTCTCTCCATCTCCTGTGCCTCTACATTACCCTTTTAACATGATTAGCACATGATAAAAATGGATTTATCAGTGCTCTCTTATGTCACTTGTCAGTGACATGCTATGTATGTGGAAAGAAACACACTCCCCTCTTCAGTAAGTACTGAGCAACCACCCTGATTCAGACCCCAGACTCCTGTTCTGATGGTGCTTAATAGTTTATTTTTGTGTGGTCATACGGGTGGTGGTTTTGGGACCATCTTGACAGGTCTGAAGCTTTGCCTCCCAAATGGATAAAGTGAGTCCTCGTTATCTTGTGACTGATCCGCAGTGAGCACAAACAACACTGGATGTGTGAGTAAATGAGGGAAACACCTAGATACTGTTTTTCAAGGCATCTGGAGGCTCAAATGTTCAGCTGCCAATACCCGCAAGACATCTGCCATTTCTCAGCTGGTGGTGTGGTTTCTTTAAAATTTAGTCCTGATTTGTGTTTTAATTTGAAGAACAATTAAACTTTATGCACAAATAAAAGGCAGATCATATACTGGAGAATCTCTATTGGATTTCTAAGCAGGCTAGAAAGTACATAAACACCTTTAGCACAGACTGCTTTTCTTACATCACTACTTTATTCCCTGTCAGGACATAGAAAAACGTGATACACCTTCAACCAAACACACTTTGAAAAATAAAATAAAATTAAAAAAAAAATCTGAAATCCTACCTTAAATAAATCCACTCCATATCTTGGTCCCCTGTGAAGAGCAGCGGCTGTGAAACAGTCCAGAGACAAGAGTGTTCAAACCCCTCTGAAATAAATGCAGGCAGCTCACCTCACGCTGACAGGTTCCTCTCACGGTTGTACTGGCCTTAAAATAACAGTATTGACTTCAAAGCAAGACTTAACCTGGTCTACACTTGCACAAATGACAGAACAAGCCCATTCTTGGCTCAACAGCTCAGGCAGTTCAGATTCGGTTCAGCGCAGAAATTTCGCACCTTCAGGAGGAAATTTTTATTTGAAAAGGAAAGATTAAAGTCTGCAGGAGCTGATGAGGATACCAGGAAAAGCAGGCAGTGAGGCAATGCCAAAAAGCCAACTGTTGCACTTCAGGTCCTCTGCAGCTGCCAGTCTGCTTTCCCTGAAACATCAGAACAGAGAGAACAATACAAAGACACAGTAGCAGTGGAGGGGGGAACCACCTTGACAAGTTTGATAAGCTCAGGAAATTGAGATTTTCTAAAAGATGAGGTGGGATAATGGTACAGGAAAGGGCAAACAATTCAGATACTCTGTCAAACAGAAACTCTTGAGTCCTCCCATATCATAAAGGTCAATCAAGATTTTATGTAAGATAACGAGATGCAGCTTGACAATAAGAAGTTAGTGTAGTTATACCTGTGTTTCCATTGGATTAAAACATGACAACTTGGCCTTTTTTATTTATTGAAGGCAATTCTTCTTCAAAACCTTCTAAAGCAATTACAGGGAGCTGTATTTCCCAAGAATGTGCATGCCTGAAGATGGAGCACATTCTAGGAAATATGTTTTCCTTATGCTAGAAGTGTTAATTGCCTAATAGATACTCTATCAGTCTTTCTCTTAAACTAGCTAGAATAGAGTTTCCAAATGCTGGTCAACTCTAAATCTACTAAAAGTGATGTAAACCAGGAAAAAGTCCATGCTGGTGAAAAAACAAGCAACAGACCATAACTGAGCCTCATGGGGAAAATCTAAAAGACTGAAGTTCCCACGAGTTTTATTACTGCACCAGTGGAACAGGGATTTCTCCCTAACTGTTCCCCAGCCCAGGGATAGTCAGTCTGTACTTTCTCTAATGTGTAAGGGATGGAAGAAATCAGAAGAGGGCACATAATAAATCAACTGACAGTCTCTGAAAAATAGCTGTCCTGTCTCCTTAATATGAGTGAGAGTAATGTTCTGAGGGCAGGAAGAATTCAGCTTTAGGCCGAAAACATTCCCCTATAGGGGTACAAAAAGTGATCACTCTGTAGTTTAATCAATCTCAGGCCTCTCTTTGAGGGGAAAAAGTGTGTTGCCTGCAACAGCACGTGTAATAATGTTTGCTGAAATATAAACTATGGCCCTATACCACAAGATGGCAGGTCAGAAGTCAACTGAGGATCTGGCCACAGATGTTCAGTAATAGAGATCAAAAAGCAATAGATCAAGTTCAGTACTTCTCCTTTAGGAGCAGGTTGCAGAAATTTCGCATCCCATCTCCTTCACAGTTTAAGTGCACTCACTCTGCATGTAACAAAGCTGTACATCACAAATTGCCGGGTTACTCAAAGTTCATGTTTCCTAACTTCTCCTCGTCCTGTGCTTGAGTATTTAATTATTTATACAGTGAGTTTGCTCTTATCCACAAACACAGCTCCCCTGAACCTCTGCAGTGTTTTTCAAGTCCGTCTACCAAAGTGAAGAATCATATGACACACCATTTAGTCCTCCCCCAGCCCTTGATATATGTTTCCTAAAGCCGACACTTGATATTATGGAATGTGTTGTAATCAATTCTTAAAGTTATAGCACCACTGGATTTTTATTAACTTGCACAACAACAACAACAAAAATCCAACAAAAAATGGGCCCTCATAATCAGTCAGCCTGGTTATATCCTGAAAGCTGCTTTAACAAGCAGGGAGTAATATAGTGTAATTGGTACTCCACAATTTAATTGTTCTGTTCTTAAATCTAATATTGCAGCTGTGGGTTAAGTTTACACCACAGCTTTCAAGAGAACATGAAAGTGTGGTACATCTGTGCAACAGAAAGCTAAACATCTCTCATCTGATGTGTTTACAATGACATTTGATAGCGTGGAATTGTTTGGAGTTCATTCTTAAAGCTGCAGAACTGCTTTTCAATGCTGCAAAGAAAAAAAGGGAAAAGCCTCCAATCTCCTTCCAGCAACTCAGCCCACACAAGCCTGAGGATAATGCTGCTGTGGCCTTGCAGGGAAACTGTTGGCTTTAACAACTCCTTCAGGTGGCTTTGAGCATTGTCACTCAGGCAGGGGACAAGGGGACAAGCACATCTTCCCCCTCAGATGATACAACAATTATTTGAAAAACAAACGACTCAGAATAACTGGACAAATAAAACAACCCCTGACATGCATAAAACAGACAAGAATATTTCAAGAAATGTTATTACACGGATGACTTAAGCACACATAGAAATGATGGAGTTTTCTGTTTAACAGGTGGCAGAACTGCTCATGGTATTGAACTTCACATTCTGTATAACTAACAGCTTCAGCATTATGTACTTGTTAGTGAATTTATTAGGCACATAAGTAGTTCAAGAAACTTAGGAATGGGCCCATAAATGTCATCTGCAGTTTGTGAACTGCAAGTATCTGACTGTTTTGATCAAGGTTTTTACGGGAAAGTTAAATGGTTATTAAAATTATTTACTACTGCTCCACGAAAAGGGAGCAAGCCCTGCCGAAGAACTTACATTGGGAGAAGATGGGATAGGTTGTAGGTCAAATGTGTTGGCACAAAAGCATTTCTGTTCATGTCTAAGCCCAAACTTCTGTACAATTCAAAGCTTAGAGTGCATTTCAGCAGCTGAGAAAAGGTCTGTGGATGGGTGGAGGCATTCTCCCTTTCCCATGATCTGCCATCAGAAACACATGATCTGATCAGGTTACTTCTCTTGTTCTCAGCATTAATCTTTTTCTAACATTTTCTGTCCTTGGAGAAATGCATGATAGTGCAACTTAGTAAAAGAGATCACTTTCTGCTCATTCCTCTGTAGCAGTCCACACCGAGGTCTTGATTTATGCTCTTTAACAGATAAAAGTCAGTCTCACTGATGAAGCTCAGCTATATTACACTGGAATCTATTAATTTTTTTTTAAACTTTATTATTTCAGTCACAATTAAGACTATCTGGAGCCTCTTCATAAAAAGGGGCCATACCAAAAGCTGTACGCTAGCAAGTCGAAAAATGGATGCATTCATCCTGCATCAAAAATACCGTAAGAAGGACAGATCTCCTGGGGAGGCAAATCTGTATCAATATTTCAGTCTCTTGAATACAGAAAATTGATACAACAAGATGCAACACCCGAACTTCCCCTCCTTTCAATTAACTGAGAAATAAAAATTGTCCTTAGAAGGGAAGAAATGCGTTCGTGCTTTCCAGTTTTCGGGTTTTCCGCCCTTTCATAGCGTCATAATGTTCTCTTCAGAGGTGGAAAACTTAATCTTCAAGTTCAAGCCTAGTTTCTTCATACAGTTCAGGATGAGATGACTTGGAATACCGGGAATATTTCAGTTGTAGATAATCACCCAATTCATCCAGAGCATTCAAAACCTGTAAGACCATTTTACTTTGTCAATTCTCTTGGAAAAGAAATGAAGTTCTAGTAACCTCTATTTTACAGCAGAACAAGATTATAAAAAACATCAATTAAAGAAAGTTTAAAGGACAAATGGGTGATTTTTGCATTCATCCCACTGTAGTGAACATCAATGCAGTCACAGATGTACAACAGCATCTTTGAGAACAGAATTTACTCCTTCAGTAGGTTATGGTTTGTTAGTAAGTACATTAATTGAACACAGATGAAAAAAATTACTTTTTCTAAAAACACAGAGATATAACAACCCAGACAACAAGTTATCTTTGCTTGTGTAAAATAAATGTGTAAGGCTATGCTTCAATATTTGCTTATAGTTCCCAAGGACTGGAGTTGCCACTGCAATTTCTCAGCTAGGACTCAGCCCACAGTGCTGATCAGAGTCAACATAAATAGCCTGAATAGTTTAAGATGATTTTAGTGCATTCCATTATCTTAGACTAATATCACAGGCACAATTAATATTATTATTAAGTAATACTGTAATGCAATTTGCTGAGCTGTCCCCCCAGCTCTCAGTAGATTCAAAAAATAGATAAGGAACTTTGTACCACAGAGAGGCAGCTCAGTGTTTTGCAGCATCTAACCCACATTCAAGATCAGTCAACTTTTTGGCATCAAGAAAGAAAACAGCAATTTTGATTTTGAGCCTGTTTCTGTTAAGCCACTAAAACGAGCTCATGAACAAAAAAGAAGTAATTTAGTAATGGTTTATGCAGAGAGATAGCTTCCAGGTCATTAAGGAAGTTATTTTTGGGAGCTTGCCCTTTCATGGATCTTTCCTCTTTAGTTCCAGGCTGAGATTCAAAACAAATTTTGCCAAAGGGAAATGTTTTCATTGTGCTTGTTACCTGTTGTTACCCTGGGTTTAGGCATGTTCACAAAGCATTTGTCTTAAAAGCTTTCCATCTGCAAGTAATTCAGCTCAGGGCATTTCCGTGGACTGTAAGGACATTTAGAGAATGCCACGAGTACTGCAGCAGAAACACAGCATGTTCAGTGACAACTGTGGAGCATTTCAGACCTCCAGTGGTACCAGGAAGCAGCGATGTCCAGGTAATGAACATGAAATGATGGCCCAAAAATGTACTGGGCTTGACATTTGGGAGCGAGGGGAGAGGAAGAAAATCAAAGCAGTGACCTCAAGAGATTAATCTCCAGATCAAGGTCATCACCTATTAGTAGTTACTTAAGCCAAAATCCACACAGCACAACACCCAAAGCTGACAGTGACCAACACAAAAGCTATGCCCTGTCCTATGAAATACTGTCTTTATGGTATTGTACCTTGCTAATAACTACTGCACCTTTAAAAGCAGAAGGAATTTTATGCTGCACACATGCAAGGCAGATTTTTTGATGTTGTTTGAGAGCAATCTACACTGATGTGGGAGCTGGTCAGCAGGGCAGGGCTCCAGCCTCAAGATCCATGTGAATCTCAGGATGCAAACGCAGAGCCAGGAACTCTCTGCAGGCACAGGTGCTTGTCTGCATGAAGAAGTGGCATTTTTAACTCAAATGCCTTCCACCTTCACAGATTTTTTGCTTTGACCATCACACTTGTACAAAGAGAGGAAAAAGAAAGCCTGAAATTTGCCGTTAAGCCTCGGCTTATTCTGAGAATGAAAAACGTATCCAAGCCAGGCCAGAAACACCTTCGGCAAGAAAGGGAGATGGAAAATCTCAAAGAGTTTATTTTAAACACATTTCTGACTGTGTTGGAACGGAGGTTTTTACGATGGAAGTCTCAACATACTCCTAACGGTATTGCTGATATCAGAGAAAGATACAGAACTGAGACAGGCCAGACAGCATCAATTAAACTTAATCAGGTTCAAACAGTTCCAAATACTGTTTGCAATTTCCACCTGTACCCCCAGGGCTGTCCCATATACTTTCTGCAATTCAAGAAACACGTGAAGATAACGGCTATGGAAAACTTGATTTTCAATTATTTCCATATCGTTCCGGGTTTCCTACTCTGATAGTTCTGACCTAGCATTTAACTTTTGTCTTGCTGTGCTCTTCATGTAGGTCTTTATTAGTGATGACAGATTTGGTCACTAGTAGAAATAGAAGAACATAACAAGTTAACTGTCCCATAATTTATTTTAAAAAAGTAAAATATATGTAAGGCTCCAATGCCTTTAAAGATCAAGTGACAAGGCCAGAAAAACAAATGTAAAAATGAATTATTGAGTTTCAGAGTAACAGAGGCACAGCTTCTCCCAACCTCCTTTGCATCTGAAGTTAATTTTGGCAGGACATCTGCTGTGCTTACCGTGTCTAACATCTCCCGTGTATGTGCAGCTGACACACAAAACCGAGCCCTGGATTCTGTGATAGGAGTAGCTGGAAACCCAACCACGACCACCCCGATATTTCTTTCTAACATGCGTCTTGCAAAAGCCCTAAGGAGAGAAGAAGAAAAAAAACCATAAAAGTAAATTATCTCCAATAACTGACACAGAGAGAAAACATCCATGTATAATGATGTTGTATATAATATAGGTATAATATATATAATAGGTAAAATCCTGTCTTCAAGTGAAGCAGATGGTAATATCCCATTGATTTCCTTAAGAGCCAGAATTTTACCAGTAGGACTGAGAACCTTTGCTGCTTAGCAGCTCATGAAGCACAGTGGGTGTCAAATACTAGAAGTGTGATGGCAGAGAGGGCACTGCAGGATAGACACACTATTCATTTATGTCACTGGAAGGCTTTGAGTGCATATCAAAATGTGGGCATTCACAGCCCCTAAGCATGGAAGAGGCTGGGCTTCTGGAAGGCATGAGAGGTTGGTTCCTGCACATCAACAGGCATAAAACAATCTGTGTCATGGTTTATCTGCTCTTACAATTACTCTGCCAGTTAAGAAGCTTTTTTTGTGGTGTGTATGAGACCTGGAGCACACAGTCATGCTAAGTCCTTGCAAATACTACCCACAGCTCAACCCTTACATTATGCTACCACTGACTCCTGGTCTGGGTGTCCAAGTCAGTGCACAAGTGCTGCTTGAGAGGAACTGAGTGGTAAAACACGCAAAGACCATTCAAAGATCAGATGGGGGAAAAGAACATCCATCTGAACCAATTCATACATCAAAGGCAATGTGTCTCCTTTAATGATTACAAATAAAAAAAAATATAAAAGAAATCCAAATTAAAAATGTTACCAAATGTATTATTCCAGACCACGTTAAAAAAGGATAAGAGAAAAATCTTAAAATTCTGAACACTGGAACAACTCAAAATTAAGTCTAGGGCCAAACTTAAAAGAGAACAGAACTAAATGATGAATTGAACAGTGCATGTTTTCTCAGGAAGTATCTACCACACAGAGCTACATTTTCCAAAGTGTACACCAAATAACCTATGAGCCTGAATAATGTTGGTTTTGCCAACAGGTTTTTTTCAGTACTTACCCTATTTTACCAGGCATATAAAGGAGCAAGGGGACAACAGGCGAATCATCATTGCCATAAATAATGAAGCCCATTTCATGCAGTTTTCGTCTGAAGTACCTTGTGTTTTTCTCCAGCTGGCGCACTCTTTGGAGCCCTGAAATGAGCCAGTCAGGAGAACAGTCAGTGCAAAGATCATAACTGGAATCTACGAATAAGGCAAAAAACAGGGCTGTGGGTAATAGTGTGGCTGAAAGGTACATGTTGCTATTTGACTGAAAAGAAAAACATGGAATGAGCTAGATGAAACTACATTGATTATTTTGGCATTGTGGGATGGACGACTGATACTCCTGTACTTGTGAGGTAAACCAGTCCCTACAGAGAAGTAGTCATATGTCTCTGTGGACACAGGACATGTAAGTAGAATATGTTCTTTCTCAATGGACTATAAGGTGAATAAGCAATGTCTACAGAAGCCAGTATCTTTTCTCATTAACAATATTCCGCAGGGGTCCTCTTATATCTTAGCTAATTCGGCATGTTTGTTTGGTTGGTTGGTTTTTTATTCTGTGACTGTAATAAAGCTTAAAGCATAAAATACTGGATTTTGGCTCAGCTCATGCTGATGCTTTTGTTGCAATTTTTTCTGGACAGAGGAAAAGCACATGATTAACTTTGTTATTATACAAGACCTGATCTTCTGCACGTTACCAACATGCAGTGTAAGCCCAGTTACTCTAATATGCATTTACATATGCAATCCCTTACTGAGCTCTGCTCAGTTTCTCTGTCCTCTTCTCTTGGTACTATTATCTTGATACCATCATATGACAACAGATTTTAGTCATTCAAGACTTTAAGACACAGGATTTGTTCTCTGCATGGTCCCCGGCCTCATTCAGTCATGGATCCATGGATGTGACCCCCAGCAAAACTAACAGGAGAGTTGAAAACAATTATTTTTAATGAAGGAAAAAGATAAGAAAGAGCAGAGAAAAAAAACGTGCTTGAAAAGACATCTCAGCCTTTTCTTTTGCAGTGCCACTAAGGAGGCGGTTTCTGACAAATGCAATTGCTGTGCAGCAGCTTGTGTCTGCCCAGCACAGGTGGCAGGAATGTGTGGTCAGATTGGGATTTAGCAGGACACAGTTACAGTTTTAGCTTTCATATTCCTGCCGTTCATCAGCCCATACTTTCAATATCACCTATACTGTGTCACTAGACATGAGCACTGAAACCTTCAGTACAACTCATTTCCTCTCTTCCCTTTGCTCTTAAGACGCCTTTGCACAGATGAATTACATTTTCACTCTCCATTTACTTTTTCATTTTACTTTACTTTTCGTTTGCTTCATTCTTCATTTACTACCTACTGCTGTCACCCTTCTCTGACTGGATGCCTGTTTCCTAATTTCCCATCTTGCTTTGTGTAACCACAGTGGCCAGTTAGGCATTTGTAGCTGCTACATGCCACTTTTGGTAGATTTGTCCTCAGACCACATTCTGCCCCTGCCTGGCTTTTCTTCCTTTTCCTTCTTGGCTGAGGTGGGGGGATCACCACAGCTACATAAACCTCCATTAATCATTTCTTGTGTAGGTTTGAAGAAGATCTACTGCTTCATCTGTTCTGTATCCTCCCAAGTCAAGGTTCTGTCAATGTTCTGGCTGGGAAATTTATAGGGAAACTGGGACCTGCTTCACAGTGATCGGTGTTTTGCTTGAGCAAATTAAAAGATCTCATAAAACCAGTGCATTTGTAACTTTATGCACAAAACTGCCCATGCAGACAACCTGTTAGTTACAGTCTCAGTCATTCAGTTTAAAGCATGCAGTGGAAGAGATCTGCTGGGTTAGAAAAGGCCACAAATAGTTTAACCATCTCTCTAATGCTGCTAAAACAAAAACAGCTGTGTCAGAGCAAGGAAAACAAATGAAACACAAAAGCATCCTACTACAAAGCTTTCCAGTCACTAATAAAAACAATAGTCTGTGGTATTTCCAAAAATATTTTTGGTGTAGTAGATCTCAAGAAACAGGAGGAAATATTGAGGAGGAGGAGGGGAAGGGAGATGATGGCAAGGAAAGGGAGTTAGAGAACTGCAGGATAATGTGGCTGAAGTCTAAAGAGAGACTTTTCCCCTTGTTAGAATTTGTAAAGATATTATTAGCACCTCCTCAACGCCCAAATTACAAGGAGGAGAGTGAGGGAGTGACCTGAACTGGGGGCTCAAAACCACTGCTGTTCCTTGCTATCTTCGCAGCCCCTGAGCTAGTTTCCAACCTCCCAGTTGGAGAGCATTTGAAACTACTAGATTTTCAATTAGGGAAAGTTTTCACAAATGCAGATGTTCTTGGCGAGTGCAGTTCAGGACTTGCTGCCTTCTCCTTTCTATTCAGCTGTTTACCACAAAGCTGGAAACACAGTGTCAGCCACGCAAGATTCCGGGCTGTTCCCTATTTATCAAACCATATGTGCAGGGCACTGAGCTGATCAGTTTGTCTCTACTTATTTTCAGTATCAGAAATTTAGATTCCAAAGAAGGGGAATATGGCAAAGGAAACATTAGAGCTGAAAGAGGAGGCTTAGGCAATCTCCCCAAAGTCAAACACCTCTTCCTTTTCCAATCTTTCCTGCCTGATTCTATATCCTCAACCTGTTTGTGGTGGGAGGGATCCCCTTCGAGGCTCCCTGTGGAGCTTGTTTCAAGCCAGCCAGTGTTGATGCAAAAGAGCCACTTGAATTTTTTAGCAACATCCCAGAACGCTAATTTTATTTGCAGGGATGCATTAAAGAGCCAAATAAAAGATCAGAGCGCTCACATATATCTGGAGGGGGAAAAAGCACATTAGGAGACGATTGCTACACACATTGTATTCGTGGGTGGGTGGCTGGGAGGAACCTGTTTCTTTACCAAGTGTCAACACTTTCCTTTCTCATGTTCAGTTTTGTGGTCAAAGACCACAGACACACATCATACACACAGCCATCTTATACACTGTCCTGATAAGAGCAATAAAACCCCTAAACTTCATAGCTGTATTTCAGCTCTTTTTCATCCCTTTATGGGACCTTCCAATGTCAGATAAGGAGGCAGATGTGAGCAAAATGTTTTTATTTTTTTTTTTATTGGCCCAATTTTCCCCCTACACTGCAGATTAAGAATGGTGAATTCAGTGTAGAATCAGATCTTAATCCAAATTCACTGTGGTATGTTTAACCAAAGACACTGCTTTTAAAAAGTATTTTCTTTGATTCCTAAGGCTGTGATCTTGCATACTTTATTATTTACTGAGGGAGAATCTACAGAGCAGACCCTTGAGCTAAAAGGATATGCTGCAACTATGTGAGTGTAAGAATTTACCTGTATGGCACAAATCAGAGGATCAGGTGCCTAGACAGTAAATGTATGTGTTAAAAAATTCTTAGTTTGCAAAATCCTCGAGGATTTACAGTCTATGCAAAGAGCTTATAGCACAGCATGCAGAATATCCAGAAAGTTATATTTCATAAAATATGTGAACCACAACACAGCATATGTTTGGAGAAAACAGCCTGGACAGGGAAAACCAACCCTTCACTAGTTCACACTAAGCCCACTGGTGCTCCAGAGTTTTAAGCTAAGACAGAGAACGACCTTATTAAAGCCTCTACATATTCTTAGCTGAATTAAGAAGGGACAGAAAGAGAGAAGAATGAATGATAAACGATTCTCAAATTTCCCAAGTTATCTTTACACTGCTTGGAACATACACAGCCAGCTTATTGGGATTGTTTTGAAGTACAGGATTAATTGCCTGGATGGTACAAGAAAACCAGAATTTACTGCATCAGCAGTCCACCTACTACTGGAAAATTTCAAGTTTACGTTTGTTGCGCCACTTTAAAAATATTTAGTTTGCTGTGAAGTCCTAAGGTGTTGGCAATTCTGGGAAAAATGCTGATTATATTTTTATTTGACACGCATCATTGCATACCGCTGGCTTTCCCTCATTAATTTCTGCAGGCTTTTAGAAAGCTTTCTAGCTCAAAATTAATATGGTTTGGCTGAAGGAAAAATACAAAGAGAGGGCAAGAGAGACAGAAATAATAAAAGATAGTGGCTTGCTCATAATTTCTTTGAAGCAACAACCTTTTTAAGAGAGCCACTTTGAGTAACAGGCTCAGTAGAAGTTTTGTCACACACTCTCAGGGAGGAGCTGCTCTGGCATCTGACAGCAGGAAGGTATCCTGACTACTCATCTTGGGATGGCTTTACCTGGCACAGCTCCAGCACTTCAACAGAGCTCTGCTGTTTATGCCAGCTGAGGACCTTATCCTGGCAGCGAAAGAGGCAGTAAAACTATCAGCTCTCTGAAACAAAAAAGTTTGTTTTCCTCCTCCAGAGATGTCTGCTTTTCCCTCCTGCAAGATGTTAATAAAGCAGAGAAACTGGCTGTGTTCAATTCCTGCACAAACATTCTACCTTTGAACTCTTCCTGTAGGCTTCTACCCTTGGAAATTCTGACTCAGTATATTGAAAACAGCAATAAGCAACCTGTAGCCTTTCATATCAAGATCTCAGGTGTATTTTAATTGAAGGAGAGTTATTTTTCCTGAACCCATTCCAGGAAAGATAATCCCACCCTGTAGTGGTTTTTGGCACGCGGTGGACTCTGCAAGACCCAAATGCACCTGCTTTAATCTTCTCCAGCTGTTGTTCCATAGGGTCTTTCTAGATAATTAGTTGCACAATCAAACTTTTACATACTGGTGTCAGTGTTCCTTGGATGGAGAACTCTACTCCCTGCCCTCCTCTACTAACAACTAGATAGTAAAAAGCAAACTTTCATAGGCTGAAAAAAAAAATTGGAAAACAATAGCTCTTCCCCACTAAACTATTGCAGATGGACAGATTTAAATTTTTTTCCCTCTGGTTCCATTATAAGAGTAACACACATGCACCTCCATGTGCATTAAATCACAAATAGAATGCTATAAAACTGAGGTGCCTAAAGGAAATATGTTCTCAGATAAAACAATCTTCATAAAAAACAACTTTGCTATGAACTGGGGAGAAGTGAAGATATTTTCTTCTGCAGTCCAATGCTAACTAGAAATCTAGTAATTTCAACTTAATTCAGCTGCTAAATAAGCCCTTAAGGACTTATTCAGTC